GAGGATGGATACAATTTTTGCAAACTGAAACCAAAACTCATCTAAAAGATCATCCACCATAATCATGTGGGCTTCATTCCAGAGACGCAAGGATGGTTCATCATATGCAAATCAATAAGTATAATCTATCATATAAGTAATCTAAAATGCACACAAAAAAAAAACATGACCATCCTATGAGCTACAAAAAAGGCTCTTGACAAGATCTAAAACTTCTTCTTGATAAAAGATCTGCAGTAGTTAGGAATATAGAAGACATTACTCAATATAATAATGGTAATTTACAGTAAGTACAGAAACAACATTAACTTAAAAGGAGAGAAAGTAAATGCAATTCTACTAAAATCAGGAACAAATCAAGGTTATTCACTGTCTCCCTATGTATTTAATATTGTACTTGAAGATTGAGTTATTGAACATAGTAGTTGAATTTTTAGCAAGAGCAATAAAACAACTGAAGGAGATCCAGGTTATATAAATTTGAAAGGATGCAGTCAAAATATTTTATAATTTACAGATGATATGATATTTTTCATAATGACAATAAAAATTCCAATGTGATAGAGTTGGTAAAAAAATTCAGCAATGTAGATGGATATAAAATTAACTCACAAAACCCAGTATCTCTCATACACAATGACAAATGGGCTGAGGAGGAAATGAGGTGAAGAAAACATTTCACAGTAGCCTCAAATAATGTAAAATATCTTGGTATAAGTAAACAAGTAAGTGACACTGAAGAAGTACATTGGAGATAAGAGCATATGCAAAGATCTCCATGCACTTGTATTAGAAGGATTAAAATAGTAAAGTTAGCAACTCTACAGAAACAATCAACAGACTCAATGCAATCCTCATCAAAATTTCAACACAATTCTTCATAGATCTTGAAAACACAAAAACAATTGGATAAATGAAGCAATCATGAATAACAAAAGAAATTCTGAAGGTTCCCTACCTCTGATCTAAAGTTGTAGTGCAAAGTTACAATAATAAGACCAGTATAGTAACAGCAGATCAGACAAGTATTGAATTAAAAATGCTGACAAAATTTCCCACATCTAGGGATGTCTTAATTTTTGATAAAGAAGCCAGAAATGTACACACACAAAAAAAGACAACTTATTCAAGAAATTGTACTGGTTAAACTGGAATCCCACATGTAGATGAAAGCAAAGAGATCTATACATATCACCGTCACCAAATCTAATTAAAATAGATAATAAAAATATCAACATAAAACCAAATAAGCTGAATCTGATAGAAGAGAAAATGGAGAATATCTGTGAACTTACTGGCACAGGAAAAGACATTCTGACATGAACACTATTAGCATGGACATTAAGATCAATGATTACTAACGGGACCTCATGATATAGAGAAAAGATATGTATTACAGAAGACATCATCATTTGAAGACAGTGGCAGATAACAGATGGTCACACCCAAAATGTATAAATAAAAAAAAAAACACCAAAATCTACTTATCAACAAAACAACAACAACAAAAAAAACCCAAGTAACCCAATTAAGAAATTGGGGTACAAATCTAAACAAAATTCTCAGAATAAAAATCTAAGATTTTCAGAAAAATAAAAAGCAAAGATATCTCAGGAACAATTAATATGTGTTTATATTCTACTCAGAAACTACAATTTGAATCTACCTTTAGATTCCATCTTACAACTGTCAGAATGGCTAAGATCAATCAAACATATGGTATCTAATGTTGAATAGTCTGTAAATTCTCATGTATTTATGATGGGACTGCAAACTATGGGAAATCAATGTGGAACTTCCTCAGGAAGTTGGGAATCAATCTGCTTCAAATTTTAGCTATATCACTCTTGGGCATGTACCCTAATGTCATTTCATTCTATCACATGAACATCTGCTCACCTATGTTTACTGCTGCTCTATTTATAATGGCCAGAAATTGGAAATTTTCTCAATGCCCCAGAACTGGACAATAGATAAAGAAGTTATGTTATCTTTACACAGTGAAGTATTATTCAACCATTAAAATAATGAAGTAATGAGATTCTGAGGAAAGTACATGGAACTGAAAACGATCATCCTTGGTGATGTATCCAAGAACCAGAAAGGCAAATATATGTATTAGCTTACATATAGATATTATTTTACACCAATCCTAATCAAGATCCATTTATACCAATCCGTAGAACCACAGAGGTTAGATATAGAGTAAGAGACTGGGTATACTGGATGTGTAGATAGACAGATCTTCTTAGGGAATAGAAACAAAATAGATGTAATAGATTTATTCTGTGAGTGGAAATGGATCAGCATATTCATATGAGGAGGGGTCAGGAAGATGGGGATGAGGTAGGAAATACAGGGAGAGATGGAAGACACAGCCAAAGCTAAGGGCCATTGAGAGGTACTATGGGAGCCTAACACAATATAATCTTCCACCAATATATACATATATGAAGGCAATCTAAATGACATCAGCAAAAGTATGAGGAACACAGATCCCCAGCTTGTCATCTCTAGTCATCAAATGAAATTAATTATACTAGGATTAGGCTACATTTAATTGAGTTGTTGGGCATAATTGCCCAATGGGAACTCCCAAACAGCCTACACTGTTTCCAAGATGGTAGGTTGCTATCTGAAAACATAGCTAAGCCCCATTTCTGAAAACAACATCCACACATATTCTAGGACATGGATGTATTGAGCAGGTGTCTTTACCTCTATATGCTATTTTCTTTGGTACGTAAAGGTACTCTCTAATAATAATTTTAAAAGAAAGGTAAGCACCAAGTCAGACTCATACCCTTTAATCCAAAATGTATTCTTGTCTGTGAGATATGCTAATATAATGATAGCACAAAAGTCATGGGAGTAAACAATCTATATTTGATTTTCCTGAAGGCCTACTTCATATGATGTGACTACTACTCAGTGCTGTTTTTGTGATTCAAAATCAGGGTTGAAATACCTCAAAACTCTATACTAAAATTATATGCTATTTTAAAAAAAACAAAAAAACAAAAAAGCATATATTTGTACTTCATATATACAACAAGATTCCCAGTTTATTGTTTGTATACATTGCTGAGTGTATGAGGAAGTTTTTCTATTTTGCATGTCTCTGTTTTCCACTTTTTTGTCTGTTTGTTTTGGCCAATTACATTTTGTTTATTGTTCTATTGTATTATATTTATTATTATTCTACTATATATTATTCATTATTAAATATTATTGCCTGGAAGACTTTTATTTTTTACTTATTGAAAGAAAGCAGGCAGATCCTGATGGAAGGAGTAACAAGGAGGAGCTGGGAAGAACAGAAGTATTGGAAAATATAATCAGAATATATTATGTGCAAAAAAATCAGTTTGCAATAAAAGAATAAAAGAAAGAAGTACAGGAAGAAAGAAAGGAAAGAAAACAAAGAAAAGACAAAATAGAGGCCAAAGAAAGACAGACAAAAAGAAAGAGAGGAAGGAAGGAAATGTCCTTGATACATTCATTTATGCATGTGCTTCTCTACTAATAATTGCAGATGCAGAATGTGCCCTAATATTATAAGCATGCTGTTTCACTTTATAGTCTTTTTATCTAATAATCAGTATGTGGTAATTTCACACATCTGCTTGTATTGAAAGTCTGCATTAGGCCAGTCGCTAGTCACTCCATTATCTCGAAGGAATCTTCCTAAATTTGCTCACCAAGTATGATTTACTAGTTTGATTGTTATCCTTTTGGAATTAGGGAAATAATCTTAATGTATTTATCCATCCTATTTCTCAACTTCTCATGCCAATCATGCACAAACCTTTTTTCCTGAAGTATCTGGCTATTTACTTACTTGTTATATGTGTTCAACTGTAATCCCTCCAAAGATCTCCCAATGTGGAAGTCCCATTCTAGTTTCTTAGATAAATGTATACTCAACGTCAAAAAGACAAATGAAAAAGTTGGAAGTTACAATTCATAATTGAGGAAGGAATGTGGCAAATATATATGATGGAAGATACTGATTCAGTCATTATAAGTTTTTCCAGGTCCATACATTTTCCAAAATTTTCATAATTTCATGAGTCTTCATACCTAGGTTAATTCCATTGTACCAACGTACTACATTTCACTTATCGATTTATCTTGTGGTATACATGGAAATTTATTCCATTTTCTAGCTATTGTGAATAGAGCTGCAAAATACATGCATGTGCTTTTATTTCTGTTGTAGGCTAGAAAGTTATTTAGGTATAAACAGTAATGGCATAGCTGGGAAATGTAGTCGTGGTATTGCTAGCTGTTTTATTAAAGGGCACGCTGGTAGCATAGTTATTGCATTCCCACCAGCACTGAACTGGGGCTCCTCTTTATTCCTCTCCTCATTGCTCAAGAGTCTTGATCATCTATGTTGTAGTTATTAAGGCTTTTCAAAAGTTCATACATAGTTTTTATATAATCCATACATTCTAGTTTGGTATATAGACCAAGTGACAGGAACAGTTGTTTCTTTAAATGGAACTGATGAAAACTTCTCACATAGTCTAGACTGTCTCACAGCTGTGGTCTTTTAATAGAATGAAAACATGTACTATGAAAGGAATTAGTTTGAATATTCTAGAAATACACATGTGACTCTCTTCACCACTCTTGTTGGAAAGACAAGCAAGATGTACTATTTAGCATTTATTGGGAATATGCTGAAGAGTATCCTGATATGTCAACTTCTGAAAGTCTCTACTCTGGCAGATTGTAAACTTTTATAAAGATTACATTCCTCCCTCTGGAGAAATATGTCTTTATATGTAATCTAGAACTTCTTACCTCTTTTTCATTAAATCTCATTAGTATGACATAACTTTATTTTTACATGTTATGTTTCATGGAATATCCATACATTTACAGATGCCTCTGTACATATTTTAATATACCTGGAGTAAGGTAAGGCCATATATATGAAATGATCTTCATTCTAAACTACAGACTGTATTCCCCAGATTTTCTTATTCTGTGCTATTTATTTATCCATGTAAATAGGAGCCAATCCTCCTTTAAACCTCAACATTGCCTCAGGTTACTAGCAAGGAGATAAATATTCTAAGGTACTAGGAGCCTGCTGTTCTGACCAGGTCTTTATTACAAACAATATGAAGTCATTATGATTTGCGTAAGTATTTCATAATTCTAGTGTTCCTGCCTCTTAGAGTTTTATAAGAAGGTCTTTCTCAGGGTTGTGTCATGATCCACATAAACTCAGGGAAAGCTCAAAGATGATATTCACACCTCAATTCCTTGGACTTATGTTTTTCTGGATTTCAGGTATGACTGTTGCGCATGGCAATAAAGTCATAATATTATTTAAGTAGGAAAATTTCTTGCTTTATTTGGAAGCCAGCATCACATGGGACTTGACTTCCTACTTGAAGAAATTGAAACATTGAAAGTGTTTTATTTTTCTTAATAGGTTAGAAGTGAATTTCATGTATAATGTTGTGTCCTACTTTATTTAATTTCTACTTTTCCAGCCTCCAGAGGTTACATTGTAATAACTCAGTCTCCAGCGACTCTGTATGTAACTCCAGGAGAGAGAGTCAGTCTTTCCTGCAGGGCCAGCCAGAGTGTTGGCACAAACCTAAACTGGCATCAGCAAAAATCAAATGAGTCTCCAAGGCTTCTCATTAAGTATGCTTCCCAGTCCATCTCTGGGATCCCGTCCAGGTTCAGTGGCAGTGGATCAGGTACAGATTTCACTCTCAGCATCAATAGTGTGGAGCCTGAAGATGCTGGAATTTATTACTGTCAACAGAGTGACAACTGGCCACCCACGGTGATACAGACCATAGCAAAAACCACCAGGAAAGGAGAAGTGTGAGGCTGGGCTGCTTTAGCTCTTTGTGCTGGTGCCTCAGCCTTCTTCAAAATGCTTCACAGATGGAGCCAGGTGTGAGGTTTACAGAAATATGTGAACTGAAGAAGTCTCAATGTTCCCCTTGACTTTGAATTCTCTTCACTCTATGTCAGCAGTAGAATGCATAGCCTAGAATTGTCCTTGAATAATGAGACAATCTTCTTGCAATGTACTGAAACCTGAGAAAATCTCATCATAGATTCACAGAAGGAATGATTGATGTTTCCATCCCCTAATAGTTGGAAATTTAGATGAGTCATTGCTTGAACCCATAGCACAAAATTTACTCCTGTCCCCCAAAAGACTAGAGAGCTCTGCTTTAGAGAATATTGGGTCTGTTACAATGTTCCTTCTGCATATTTTATAGTAAGTGGACAATTCTTGAATATAAAGTATTTTTCATGTTCATGTATTTGTATAAATTGTCCAATAGAATTTAGTAAAAATTACAAATTCCTTGAACAAATGTTAACAGTTACTAGTTAACAAGCAAAAAATAATTTTTAAACAACAAAACTATGTTTGTCAAATGAAGTTTCCATAAATCTATGAACTTATTTTGAATCATTGTCAGTTAAATGGGTATCAAAATGAAGGTGCTTTTACAAACAATGAAATCATGGATGATATCTTAGCATTGTGATTCACTTTTATTACCACAGAATTTTATGGAAATAGATGAAGCTTTAAGTTTAGCATTTAATTTGATAAACATGAGTGAAATATTTGTAGGTGCCAGGACAAAGTATTTGAAATAAAATCATGGTGGTAAATTTTCCTAAGTATGAAATGAAATGTGACATATCTCGATGATTTTTTTGAAATTGTCAAACAATAATAAGTATTTTATTCTTTTTCTATTTTTTCAAATTAATTTTTTATTGGATATTTTATTGAAACACAAGGAGGGGTCATCTGCAGACTGCTCTACCTAGGTACCCATCTCATGTGTAGTCACACACGCTGGTGTGGATGCCAGGAAGTACATACTGACAGGAGCCTGATATAGCTGTCTCCTTAGATGTCTTCCAGAGCCTGACATATACAGAGGCAGAAGCTCACAGCTAACCATTGAACTGATCATCGGGTTTCCAATGGAGAAGTTAGAGAGAAGACTGAAGAAGCTGAAGGAGTTTGCAGGCCTATGGGGAGAGCAACAATACCAGCCAAACATAGTTCACAGTGTCCAAATCTCTTGATGATTTAACAAGTAGAAAGAATATTCCTTGGTCCCATGTAGGCTGTATTTCCCAGTGTAGGGGAATTCGAGGGCAGGGAGATGGGAGTGGGTGTATGGGTGAGTTTTTGGAGGCACAAGCTCATAGAAGCAGGAGGAGGGTGAATGGGACAGGGCGTTTCTGGGTGTGGGGGAAAAATGAGATAATATTTGAAATGTAAATAAAATATCCAATAAAAAAAAGAGAAAGAACATTGCAGAAAAGAATCTTCAATCCTTAAATAAAAGAGCCTTCTTAAAGGATTGCGTATAATAGGGTAAAGGTTACCAGTAAAAAGGTAAATATGTAAATGTTATTACAAATTTAAATTTTGATGGAGTGTGATAGTTTATGTCTCTGAACAGAGCATTTGGGATTTGGAGGCAGGAATATTTCCATAATTTCAAGTCCATTCAGGTTTTCATATCAAGATCCAGGCCAACCAAGGCTACATAGTAAGAACTTGTGTCAAAAACAAAGACAAAATAAGTTAAAACATAATTTGTTTAAAAATTTTTATTTTCTTTCCAAATTTAAAATCGAAAAATAACTTAATGTGTGTCTGTGTCTGTGTTGGTTTGTGTGTGTGTGTTTGTGTGTGTGTGTAATGTCTGTGTAAAACAGGTAGTCAACCATAAGTAGGCTTATAGACTTCAGAGGACTGATGATAACTTTTTCTATCATTCTTCATTTTTAAGTTTTGAGGCAGGGTCTTCTATTAAGTTTAGAATTTTCCATTGTCTAGAACAGCTCATCAGAGATAATACTTTGATCTCCATTTCTTCAGGCTCAATTGATGGAGCTATAGTTAAGTGTGGATAAACCTGAGTTTTATGTGAGTTTTGAGAATTTAACTTGAGTTCTCATTTACTGTCTATACTGTCTCTATACTGTCTCTGTGCCCTCTGGTTAGTCTGGATAAAGGTTTATCTATCTTGTTGATTTTCTCAAAGAACCAGCTCCTGGTTTTGTTGATACTTTGTATAGTTCTTTTTGTTTCTACTTAGTTGATTTCATCCCTGAGTTTAATTATTTCCCGTTGCCTATTCCTCTTGGGTGTATTTGCCTCTTTTTGTTCTAGAGTTTTCAGTTGTGCCATCAAGTTTCTAGTGTATGCTGTTTCCAGTTTCTTTTGGCAGACTCTTAGAACTATGAGTTTTCCCCTTGGCACTGCTTTCTTTGTGTCCCATAAGTTTGGTATAACAAGACTTCATTTTCATTAAATTCTAAAACGTCTTTAATTTCTTTATTTCTTTCTTGACCAAGTCATTGAGTAGAGCATTGTTCAGTTTCCACATGTATGTGGGCTTCCATTGTTTTTATTATTATTAAAGATCAGCCTTAGTCTGAGGTGATCTGATATGATGCAAGGGATTATTTCAATATTTGTGTATCTGTTGAGGCCTGCTTTGTGACCAGTTATATAGTCTATTTTGGAGAATGTTTCATGAGGTGTTGAGAAAAAGGTATATTTTTTGTATACATTAAATCCATTTGGTTCATAAGTTCCATTAATTTCACTCTGAATCTGTTTAGTTTCTGTTTCCATTATCTGTCCATTGTTGAGAGTAGGGTGTTGAAATCCCCCACTATTATTTTGTGAGGTGCAATGTGTGCTTTGAGTTTTTGTAAAGTTTCTTTTATGAATGTGGATGACCTTGAATTTGGCACACAGATGTTCAGAATTGAGAATTCATCTTGGTAGACTTGTCTTTTATGAGTATGAAGTGTCCTTCTTTACCATTTTTGATAACTTATGGTTGAAACTCAATTTTATTCAAAATTAGAATGGCTACTCCAGCTTGTTTCATGGAACCATTTGCTTGGAAAATTGTTTTCCATGCTTTTATTCTGAGGAAGTGTCTGTCTTTGTTCCTGAGGTGCACTTCTTGTATGCAGCAAAATTCTGGGTTTGGCTTATGTATCCAGTCTGTTAGTCTACATCTTTTTGTTGGGGAATTGAGTCCATTGATGTTATGAGATATTAAGGAAAAGTGATTGTTTCTTCCTGTTATTTTAGTTATTAGAGGTGGAATTACATTTGTGTAGGTATCTTCTTTTGCTGTTGTTGGAAGATTACTTCCTTGATTTTTCTTGGTTGTATTTTTCCTTGTTGCATTGCAGTTTTCCATCTATTATCCTTTGTAGGGCTATATTTGTGGGAAGATATTGTGAAAATTTGGTTTTGTCATGGAATATCTTGGTTTCTTTATCTATAGTGATTGAGAGTTTTCCTGGGTATAGTAGTCTTGGCTGGTATTTGTGTTCTCTTAGGGTCTATTTTATATCACTCCAGGATCTTCTGGCTTTTTTAGTTTCTGATGAGAAGTCTTGTGTAATTCTTATAGGTCTGCCTTTATATGTTACTTGACCTTTTCCCCTTAATGCTACTAGCATTTTGTTTGTTTGTTTTGTGCATTTGATGTGTTGATTATTATGTGACAGGAGGAATTTCTTTTCTGGTATAATCTATTTGGAATTCAGTAGGCTTCTTGTGTGTTTATCAGCATCTCTTTCTTTAGGGTAGGAAAGATTTCCTCTAAAATTTTGTTGAAGATATTTACTGGCCCTTTAAATTTGGAGTCTTCACTGTCGTCTATACCTATTATCCTTAGGTTTGGTCTTCTCATTGTGTCCTGGATTTCCTGGATGTTTTGGGTTTGGAGCAAAACACATTTTATATTTTCTTTGACAGTTGTGTCAATGTTTTCCATAGTATCTTCTGCACCTGAGATTCTCTCTTCTATGTCTTGTATTCTGTTGGTGATGCTTGATTCTATGACTCCTGATTTCATTTCTTAGTTTTCTATCTCCAGTGTAGTCTGCCTTTGAGATTTCTTTATTGTTTCTACTTCCATTTTTAGATTCTGGATGGTTTTGTTTAATTCCTTTACCTGTTTGTTTGCGTTTTCTTGTAACTCTTTAAAGGAATTTTGTGTTCTCTTAAAGGGATTTTACCTCTTTACCTGTGTTATCTTGTATTTCTTTAAGGGAGTTGTTTATGTCCTTCTTAAAGTCCTCTATCACCACCATGAGAAGACATTTTAAATCTGAATCCTGCTTTTCCAGAGTGACAGGATGTCCAGGCCTTACTATGGTGGGAGAACTTGGTTCTGATGATGCCAGGTAACTCTGGTTTCTGTTGCTTATATTCTTGCAATATCTTTTGCCATCTGGTTAACTCTAGTGCTACCTCCACTCAGTGTCTCTGACTGGAGACTGTCTTTCCAGTTATCTTGCTGTGTCATAACTCCTCAGAGTCCATCTGTCTCTGTGATCCTGTGATCCTATGCTCCTGGGTAGAAGACCTCCTGGGAATGAGGCGGCCTCTGGGATCCTGAAATCCTTCTGCTCTGAGTACAATGGCTCCTTCCCTGCACTGGGTGCAGTGGTTCCTCAGTTGCCCTGAATGCAATGGTTCCTCTGCTGCTCTGAGAGCAGTGGTTCTACCAGTGCTCTAAGATGATTCAGGACATGGTGTCTTCACAGCAGCAGACCAGCTAGATGTTTCTATAGATACTTTTTAAACACATGTTTCACAAAATTTTTCCTCACTATTGACAATAGAGAGATAGATGATTCTGCCCATTATTACTGTGCTGAATTACCAGGGTACCACAATGTTACTTCCCTACACGAAAACCTTTAGAGCAAGGTATGAGCCATAGTCCCTTACAAAAAGTCAAAATTCCTCTGAAGAGCTTTTAAAATTTTTTGTTCTTTTTAAAAAAGTCCTTCCAACATTAG